ACAATAAAAAATGATATTTAATATTTTAGAATGATAAAAAATAATATTTATTATTATAGATAAATGAGGAATATTAATAAAGCTAATACAAGATGCTAGAAATTGAAATATAGATAAAAATAATTCATATATAATCTAATTCAATAATATCTAATATTAAATATCGTTAAATAATTATAAAAATTATTAATAAAGCTAGTTTTATCTTTCAAAGAAAGTATATTTCATGCATTAATATGGAAGTTTCACATATAAGTTATAAATACTCTTGATTTCTTTATCCCAGTTAGTAGAATTAGTATTTTTTATCTGCTGTTTACGCTCCTGATTTTCTATGTATTCTATAACATGAGCATGAGAAATCTAATATTTTTTTGCCATAGTATTTACAGCATCAGACATCTTACCTAATGATTCTTTGATTTCTTTAATAGTCTCATCAAATAAGTATGTTGTATTAATATTATAATATTCTTTATGTATATGTTCCATTCTTATCATTTATTACTAATATTTAATATCTGTATATTATCTATTATTTAATATGGCTAATATGCATATACTACAAGATATCAATAAAGGATATAGGCTAGGTAGTATGCAGGAATAAGAACTTGAAGAATTTTTACATCACAGTTTAAAGTCTATATCTGAGCTAAATGATTATAATAAAGAATTACAATCTAAATACTCAAAGCAAGTAAAAAATATTAATTGAGAGAGAAAGAGGTAGAATCAGGATTTATTATAAAATAATACTGAGATCTAAAAGTTACACATCTATACCTTACAAGTTATTAATGAGAGTAAGTGATTGCAAAATGAAAATACTAGTCTTATTTCTCAAAATGCTCAAAAAGATCTTTATCTTGCAGATTCAAAAACTGAAATTACTATAAAATCAAGAAAAATTAGATTATTCAAGTTTATAATAGAGATATTAAAAGGTAAGTTAGCCTCAGCCCAGAAAGATGTGTTTTCAATCTAGAAAGATTCATCAAAAAAAAAATCTGAGATATTATCCCTTAAATCTAAAATAGCTGAAGTAGAATAAATGAAAAATGAACTAGCCTTAAAAGTCAGTGAGCTTGAGCGTCTGAAATTGAAAGATATATCTAGATCTGTGATTGGTGGAAATGATAAAAAAATACACAAAGTGAGAAATATATTTTCCTATTAAATTCTGATGAAATATCTGCGGTTAATGAATCTAATAAAAATCTCAGTAAATATTTAACATGCAGAAAAAATATAAAAGAGATCAAAAAAATTGATGATAATAGTAGAGCTAGTATCAAGACATATATCCTGATATATACTAATAATAAGATTACTGAACTATCAAAAGATGATACCAAGAATATTTCCAAGATAAGTAATGAAACTAATATTAGTAAAACTAGTAAAGATATTATGCTAGATATATCAATAAAACCAGATATATCATTAATTATATTCAAGAATATGACCCCATATCTTGCACAATAGGAAAATTATACCTCCTCTCCAATCAAATCACATTCTCAGATTTTGGTAGGAGGAATAGAAGCAATTCCTATTGTAGTAAGTACTTTAATATTATCATTATTCATATATATCTTTCTTACCTTGTTAATTATTGTAATTATGTGGTTTGTAATATTAAGATGTACATAGGGATTGGAGAGGAAAAGTGATCAGTTGTGAGATGATTGGATCAGGTAGCTGAGTATTATATTATCTATTTGAACTTGGATATTATGTGTATACAGAAAAAATATAATATCTTTTTAACCATATTTAATATTTGTTGTAGTTATAAGGGAGTATTATTAGCATTATATATGGATTGTATTATTATATGCTCCTTTATGGTAGTGGGAATGAGATTTCATGGTAATCATAAATTTAAAAAATCAGATATCATCACTCTTGAACTGGAGCCTTTTAATACATATGATAAGAATGCAATAAAAGTTATGGTAGATGGTATCCATAAAGCCTATGTGGCAAAAGATGAGAATATAAGAATAGGAGATTTAATAAGATATTATCTTCATTATTGGATAAATGCTCATGGAAAAAAGAACTATAACAAATCAGCATCTTTAAATATTGAATATTCTTGGATGGTCTGTGGAAGATGTCATGATATGCTACAAGCATTGAGAGATTATGACTATAGCTATTAGATTTAATGATCTCATCATATTTTTATGTAGAAATAAATATTATAAAGTGTTTTACATCACGTAATTTTAGATCTTTAAACATATTATTCATCTTTTTTACAGCTATTTTTTTCTTCTTTATATCAAATGGTTCTTTCAACAAAAAGTACAAATCATCAAGAGTTAATTTTTTATAATCATCTAACAATAAAGCAGATTCTGGGATGAGAATATTATCTTATTCTGTTTGTTGATTTATTAAATGAGTTGCTAATAGATTTACAGGTAATTTTTTATTCTGACTATCATCATCACAAAATAAAATCAAATAAAAATCTTTCAGTCTAAAAATTGTTATGTGATCATTATAATCACTTTGTAGTATTTTACTAATATCTCTTTTTTTAACATTAACTTGTTTTATTTCTGGAGAATCATATATGGATATATATATTCCTTGAGAAATTTTTTCCATAATAAGCTAATATTAATTTGATTAATTTTAAATACGGATTTTTGTGTCATCTAATATAAGATGGTAGGCTATTGGATAAATATATAAAAAGCTTAATTTATAAAAATCTGGATTGAACCTTGAAGATTCAGATTTTTGTGCTGTAGAATTTTGATCAAGGTGCACTTTTCAGTAAATAATACGTATATATTCAAAAAAAATTAGTGTCTAGTCAAGATATAACCACTATATAACTGTTTTTGATAATTACTAATATTATAAAATTGTACTTTGGACAGATATCAAATAGGTATAATTTTGATAGAAAATCAGTATCTGGTCAAGGTATAATTATTATAGAAAGGGTGATTGTATTTTGAACAGATACCAAGTATATATGATTTTAGTAATATAATTTGAAGAAAATCAGTATCTGATCAAGGTATAATTATTATAAACATGAAGAGTATATTATTTTAGCTATATAATTCGAAGAAAAATCAGTATCTAGTCAAGATATAATTTGAAGAAAATTAGTATCTGGTCAAGGTATAATTATTATAGAAAGGGTGGTTAAATACAAAGCATACTATTTTAACTATATAATTTGAAGAAAAAATTGGTATTTGGTCAAGATATAATTATTACAGATATATATATAATAAAAAATTATACTTTGGATAGATATGAAATTAAATACATCATTAGATATAATTTGAAGAAAATCAGTATTTAATCAAGATAAAATTATTATAGATATATATATAATATAAAATTATACTTTGGATAGACATAAAATAAATGTTAGTAATTCAGTACTACATGCCTCAATCTTAATCAATATTCGAATACAATATAATAGATAATATTTGGCACTACATATCTCATTCTCAGGTGATATTCAAGTGAATTATATAAAGATCATGAATACTATTTTAATACTAGGTACCTCAAACCTGGCCTCATAGAGAAATTAATTAGAAAGCTAAGGTACTACATGTCAGGTTTGGGCATAGCCCTTACATCAGACTCATAAATAACATATAAAATGTAATTGACCTATCAAATACGTGATAAGCCAATCTATCATCCAGATCTTAGCAGACTATGATTAATATATTAACTCATATATATGAAATCAATCAGAAATTGACTATAATCAATGATCAGGTATATGATATATCATATGTGGCTTGATGATAAAAATTTACCACAATTTTGATCAACTATACCATAAGGAAGGTGTAGACTATGTATTAGATAATGAATTATATATGGTATAATAATAGAAACTGATTATAACTATTAATAAGCAATTATATATTATAATATTAGATCACATCATCATTGCCAATTTGGTATATGAGAATTAATACCACTAGTAGACTATGAACTCATTGGTATCGTAAAAATTATTTTAACTATATGATAGTTCATAGTATATGAATATATATAAATATTATTAGTAGACTATGAATCTGTTAGTATCATAAAAAATATTTCAAGAGTATGATATTTCATAATCTAAGTTAAGTTAATTCATAATATATATATATTATAAACCAACTAGTTAGAATATTAATATATAATAAAATCAAATTGCTTCTTTCCATTATTTCCAATATAAATTTGCATAAGAGAACTTTCAAAGCTAAAAAAGTTTATACATTGTTCAAAGGGATAGGAATAGATATGATTAGATAAATAACTTACAGTACAAATACTATTTCAAGTCTAACAGATATTCAAATCCAAAATATTATAAATTATTTTTGTAAAAAGACTAATATAATTAATTGCCAAGAAGTGATCAGCATTTTAAAAAAGAATGCATACGTGATTAAACTGCCTAGTTTAAATAATATATCAAATACTAAGATAAGCATACTTACTGAATCTCAAATTTCTGATTCTTCTGGTTCTGGATCAATACAAGAAAATGATCAAGATGAGTTAATGACTCAAAACTCTGCTTTCTTGAAATTATCAGAAGCTAAAGTAAGTATACCTACATCTAACTATCTTGTGACTGTCTCTGATAATAAATCTCAACCTCTAATTTTGATCTTACCTGAAGACTTAAAAGAAAAACAAAATCATATTATTAAAATAATACTGAAGTAGTTTTAAAATTTGTCTTTAAAATATAGTATCAAGAATAATGATTATTTTGACTGTTCAACAATCTGTCCTATATGCAATAAAGACCATAAAAAAGAAAATATAAGAAATAATATAGAAGGTGAATAGGATAGTGATAATTATGTCAATACAAAAACTTATCATCTCAAATACTGGAAGGCTTATCAAAAATCAATCCAAATAGTAATAGTAAAAGTGTAGAGCAATAAGCATGTAGGATAAATATGAGATCATAGGCTTTTTATTTGACATGTTTTATAAACTTCTATGTCGATTCTACTTGTGATATGATTAGTTGATAAATTTCTGACTGTTAATAATTTTTTAATTATTCTGATTGGATGAATCATTACTTTAAATAATAGGCTCTATTATGAAGCTTATTTTTATGATATTTTTAAATAGAAGAAATAATCTTTTTCTTTTTAACATGAATATGATTCTTTTGAGATTTTATTGGATTGAGATCATACCAGTCTGAATTCGTGAATTCTGAATTAGAGCTAAATGAATCAGTCTCTGTCTCAGATTTGTTGTGAAATATTCTATAATATTTCTTTTATTGCTTGTTATTACAAAATAATGACTTTTCAAGTTTATCTTCAATATTTGAAAGAATTTTATTAATTATATTTATAATTTTCTCTTGAGCTAAACCAAATTTAGATTCTGTTGATTTAGAGATAAAGTCCCATTGCTTTGTAATAGATAAGTTATTTTTAGTGGAGCTAACTTTATAGCTTGAAGAGTTACCTATAGATCTGTTATCTTTTTCAATTAATAAGATACTCATATCATCTATCTCAATTTTAGCATAGCACTTATAATTTTTCAGAGAAAATCCAAAGCTAATTTTTACTTCATATTCATAACCAATCCCATCTTAGTATCAAATCAAATGATAGATTTTTGCGAATTTAAAAATCTATTATTTCAGTATCATCTAAGCTTTATCACTTTTCTTTATATCAAAATTGCAAATCTAAGCATTTTATTTTTTTGCCTATTAAATTATCATCAAATATATCTTCTAACTCATAATCTTCTTCAAGCTTATTATACAAGTACTTGCTAATAGTATTGGATTTAAATATTATATTGATTAATACTTTTACTGGAATTTTTCTCTTTATGATTGTTTTTATGAAAACTATGTTAAATATTATTTAATGATATATATTATAACTGAAAAAATAACTTAGTAAATAATTACCCATTCTCTGCTATTACATAAAATTATTTATAAATCATGAATAATTAAGATTAATTCTGTCAATTTCTCTGATACAATTACTAAGCACAGAAATAAGATCTGTTTCATCTAATAATATACTGATAAATATTGGAATAGATGGATCAGAATTAGATTATTTTTTATCTGAATAATTAGGGTATTTGATTTTAATTTTAGGATTAAGTTTTTTCATCACTTCTTTACTAATCCCTTTACACTTCTCCAAACTAAGATATTTCAAATTAGTACAGTTGTGAAATATTTTCTTAATAGCTTTATTATTAATCAAATAATAGTCAAGCTTAAGATATCTAAGTTTTGGACACAAGCGAATAATTTCAGTAATATATCGATTAGTAAGACATATGCATAAATTAAGACTCAGATATTATAGTTTTGAAGAAAATCTCATAATTTCTATAATTGATATATTAGTGAAATTCTTACTTTTATCAAGAATAAGAATATATATATCTGGATATAAGTATAGAATCATATTAATTAATACATCTGAGATTTTTAAATCTTCTAATCTGAGATATATCATCTTGACGCAATAGGTTGACTTTATCTTTCCACATATAACTTTTTTAAAGTTTATCAATTGTCAAGTAAAAGCTTGAGGCATTTTATGATCATGCTAATCTCTCTAATAATCTTCATTGAAAACTCAATATGACATTATAGAATAGAAGTATTGCAGTGATACCAAAAGTAGTTGACAAATAAAGTAGAATAGAGGGATCGATCAATTTCTAAAAAATATAAGATCTGTTCTAGTAATTCCAATAAATCAAAAATATTTAGTTATACCATTCTTAAATTATATATTATATATCTTTAATCAGAAAAAAAATAGCTAATATTCAGATAATTAATTTTTAGTGGTAAATATCATAAATATTATATATCAAAGATACTAGCTCTGCTATATATCACTTTGAATTTTCTCAATATTTTCCAAAGTACTCAGCCTTTTTACTAACTCATTTAATGGAAGATCCAATCCATATTTTCTGGTTTTTATCTGATTCTCAAATAATAATTCATGAAAAAATTGATATTTAAGCTGATTTTTATTATATCCAGCTAATTTACTATATTTTTTTACTTTTGTGTAATATTCTATTATCAAATTCTCCTCTTGTCTCAAATCTCTAAATCAAAACTTTTAAATATCAGTAGATCCAG